TATATATATATATATTATTGAATGTAATTAACTATGGAAATGTAGATTAAACTAGAACTATATAAGTGGAATATAAAATTTTCTTTTTTGACTAATTTTTTTAAAGCTTCATATATAATTTAAGTTTTCAAATGAACAGTTTTGAAATATTCAATATTAATTCAATCCAACTATTGGATTAAATATTCAATTATTATTTATTGGATTAAATATTCAATTATTATTTGTGACTATTTATGAAAGATTATTTTTTATACATAAATCTAATTAATTTGACAATTAAAAATGGCAGTAATCGCTTTAATCGTCATATGACACAATAATTCATTCGAATTCAATGATTACTCTGAATAATTATTATTTTTTCGTTGCATTACATTACACCCTAATACTCCTTAAATAATTCTATACGATCGAACAAGCTGAGCCGTTTTGTTTCTTCCTTTTTTTTTTTATAAAAATCCCACGTTAAAATATTTGAATTTAAAAAAAAAAGAAAATGATATTAAAAAAAAATTACAAAGAAAATACAGCCAATTAGTTTAATCTCATAATAACAGTAACAATAATAAAATAATAATAATAATAGTAATAATAATAGTATAGTAATAATAATAGTAATAATAATAATAACTCTGAAATATAAATTTCAATGAGGAAATTAAATATAAAAGATGATGGAAAATAAAACGTCTAATTTCATTTCAAAATATTTATAAGTATATCCAAATACATTAAAAAATTAATTGTTATCCTTATAAACAAAATGTTATTCTTAATTAAAAAGATATGTAATAAGAGATGCACGAAAACATTAAATATTTTTTATATTCAAATTATTTGTAATCTTTTCTATATCTAATTTCCTCCATTTTTGTTGAATTTTTATGTATGTACTATAATATAAGTGTCTCATACAAAGACACTACCCTTGTTTATCGATATACCAAATATTAATGTTACAGAGGAATTTGTACATAAGGTTACATCATACTTTCGTTAACCAAGATAATAAGAAATAAATTTTTAGATAATTAAATTCAATCAATTTCAAATATATTAATTGTGCGAGAAATTGTAAATTATAATACGTGGTCTTCGTACCTTTGTTGTCGCAAATCGAATAAAGTCATGCAATAAAATTGACATACGACACAGAGTTGGGCACGGTTTCTACGAATATTCATTTTAATTATTTATAAATCAGTCATAAGAAATTAATATATCAGTCATCAAATAGTACAACAAGAACATAAAATTCTTCACATTACCCTTAAAAAATGCTTATCTAACGTTTTTTTCTATAAAACGAAATAAAAGATAGTTCAATTATAATATCAAATATCCTAAAACATGAACACAAAATAAATTTCAAAATCAAAAAAGCAAACTTCTATTTTTGTAATTTTTTCATTTTTAATAGCCTATCATAAAATTATTTGATCAACTATTCCATTAAAACATATTCTACAATAACATTCGAAGAAGTAGATAAATTCAAAATCAATTTCTTAGTAATCAACCAAAAATATTGCCCAACCCTTCCGCAATTACGAAAAGCACAATCGCTCGACTCAGCAGCAACTACGGCGAATCATAGATTTATTACACGATATCTGGAACGGCCTACAATCAAAAACAGTCTTTTAAATCGAAATCACATTCAAAAACGGTCCTCAATCGAAAAGCGGCGGTTGTCTTTAATCGAAACAGTCTCTGAACCATTAATTCTCGTATTTGTAACAAATAAATTACTGATAAATTCCTTTTCGTGATATCGTAAGAATAATTTCAATTACGATTCCATTTCTTCCAATAGTCTGTGTCGATTTTCTAAAACTTGTACTTGCACGAGAGGATCACGTTGAATCAGAAGAAAACTTATTGTCGCATAAATTTGGCACAGAATCTAGTGATGCCGCTGCATATGTATTATATGCTTCGAAAAATCATCGGATCATAGGCCATCCAGTGTGATGCTATTAAATATCGCCCTTTAAAGCTTCCGTATTAACCCATTGTTAAACGGTTTATACTATATCACGATTCGCCAGCGTGTGTGCTTCAAATGCCGGTAAAAAACAGAAACGCTTTTTTTCACAATCGTTATATGGTTCATTATTTTTTCACGCTCGCTTGCAAGTTTACGCTATTTACACCAACAGTCATTAGACTCGAGTAAATTTATACTCAATGTCTTTTTAAAGAAAGAAGAAGTGGAGCAATAATTTCTTTTTTCCTTGCTTCGGAAAACATGTATATTCATAGTGGAAGAAATGTAAATGCGTTTGTTATACATTTGATCAACAAGTAATGATACAAATATAACATACTAATATTCTAAGTACTTTTATATTTCGTGAGAATTCAAAAAGTTCATAATATACATCTATATATGGACTTAAGTAAGATTTTATGATTTGCAAATTTTTTAGAATTTCTGCAAAATTCTTCACATCGACATTTATCGCTATAATTTCTTCCACCATAAATATCGATACAAACGTATCTCTTCTCCAAACGAAAGAGTTTCATCGGTAGAATATCATAATAATTTTAAAATAATCACGGCCCGCTTATCGCTAATCCAATCGTTTATTTGATATTAACATTTAGAAATTGTTATTTCATCATTATCGCTGGGAAAATGTTTGATATAATGCAGAGTTAAACGATTTTAGCTGTTTTTTTTTTTTATCTTCAGTCTATGATTATTATTCCCATTTTTCATTGATTTCCATAGAGTCCTTAACGCCTTTAATTATTTAAGAATCTTGTGTTTCCTAAAAACATATATTCCAAAATTAAATACATATATACATATATATGTATACATATATACATGTCTGTTTTATGTAAATAATAATAAATAATATCTAAATAATAAAAACAGTGAAATAATATGAAAAAAACGAAAGAAAATATTTTTAAAAGTTATTTGATATAATATACATTCATAGTTTTTTTATAGATTTTTTATAGATTATGGATCATATGAAATGATATTCATTTCTTTAAATGGAAATATATAATTTTTAATGCAATCCATACAGTTTGTTATTTCTTACAAAAAAATATTGAACTATTTGTATTATATATTAATTTAAGACATATAATTTTATAAAACTTATTGTAAGAAAAACAAATAATACATGCACTTTGTTTTTCATATCTAAAAATTTTAAATTAAAATATCTCCTAAATAAAAATTTTTCGATATAAATATTTTTTTATAGAAAGTAACATGCTATATTAATTAATGCAATAAAAATTATATATCTATTTAAATTGAAATTGATTTTCATTATCTTATATGCTAATCTATAGAAAAACTATTACTGTATAATATATCTCTTTATATTAAATAACTAGTACAAAAATACTTTTTTTCACATTTTTCTTAAAAAATATTTTATTATATTTATATAAAACAGATCTAAATATATATATATACAAACATTTCTATTTTATATTATATATATATAATATCAAAATATTTTTTTTTAGTTTTTATAACTATATAGGCTGCGACATTTTTTTGGTCCAAGCAAGACTTAAATGATCTTATATATGTACAAAGAAAGGCATGCAACATGGTCACTTTAAATAACTGATAAATTATTCCTTGTATGAGAAAATATTTCAAATTTATACAAAAATTCTAGTATAAAAAGGGAAATAATTTAACGTTATTAATTTTTAACATTTTTTTTAAAATAGAAATTTAAAAGATATATGAAGATCAATCTTTTTTTAATTGAAATCATATACTTTTTAATACATTATATTACTTTTTATTATACTAAATTTTAATTTTTATTCATAATTTCATTTAATAATTTAGATATTTTAACTAATCATGTAATAAAATTAATTGTACTATGAAAAAAAAAATATGAATAGAAAAATTGCTTCACATGCTATTAATTTTTCATATGATAAATTTATTATTTATTTTTATGAAATTGAAGATAAAATATTTTTTATAATAACAATTATTTACACTAAATAATAAGAAATAACGATTTATTAAAGTCATTGTATTAAAAATATAAATTTTAAGTAAAAAAACAGATTTTCAAATTTCCTTTTCACATTCATTCTGCAAAAAAATTAATAAATTGTGTTCCCTTTTGTATCACTAAATTATTTAATAAAATATTTTTTCACACAATAAATAATTTATAAATTGAATTATGTATAAAAATTATTAAGTTAAAATAAATTATCAGTTCTAATAATAAATTTCATAAGAACTTTTTTTTTATATATTCGTTTAATTTTTTACAAAGATTAAATAATATATTTATTATATTGGATATTTTTTATTAAATTAACAAATTATTTTATAACAAATATTTTTCTATTATTTATAGATTTTAAATAAAATGTACATCCCAACTCTCAAAATATCTTTATTTCAAAGTTTCAATAAATTTTTACACTATAAAACTTTATTCCCACTTGTTCCAAAACTCGCTATATCCAATATAGTTTAAAAATGACTCAAATAATAATTTTCTATTCATTTTTTCAAAATGATTTGATTCAATCCAACTAAAAATATTAATTATAATTATTACATTAAGATATGTTGTAAAATGTAGACATAACTTCGCAGAAAAATTTAAAATACAAAAATAATAATAAATAAAAATATTTTAATTTCATATTTAAATCATATTGTATATTGTTTAGAAAATTATTAAAAACAATTATTGCATAATATTTATAAATTGTTGTTATACATTAATAATATTATACATGAGATATTTACTATGAAGTCAATATTTTAAAATATATATAAACACTGTATTACTTAATTAAATGTGTAAAAATAAATATTTGAAATTATATCCAACATTTTACATGTTATAAATAATGATATAAAAGAAAATGAATAATACTTATACGAGTAAAATACAAAAACAAAAAAAATTAAATTGTATATATCTATATAAATGAATATTTCAAAAGGAAAAAAATATCAAAATTCAAATGGAACATAAATGGAAAGAAATGAAAAATAAAGGAAAGAAATAAATAAGGACAATATACAAAAAATACTCTGTATAATATAATTACATGTGTTTTAAGTGAAAAACAACAAATGTTTATCTTCTTTTTTAATTTTTTTTCTTTTTTATTTTTTTCGTTTGTTTCTCAATATTTTCATCTAAGCACATAAAAATTGAATGTGATACAACTGTTTCTGGAAATTAATTCCTTAAAATATTCTATTATGACATGTAAAAATATTAAAAATTGGCATCGACATATAATTTATAATCTTATGATTTTAAATGCTTATACAAATCAGACAATCAAATAGTATCGATATTCTTTCAATTTTCATCAATTTTATTCGATCAATTTTTAATGAGGAATGATAAATAATTTGTGATTTGAAAGAGATCAATTTAAAATTAAACTGCTTGTCATTTGAAAATATAATTGTCATTACAAGAAGATCATATTAACTAATGATATAGAAAAAGCATTAGAAAATTTAAAAAAAAAATATTAGAAAAAAATATGAAAAATAAATTTATAGCAATTTACATTAAAAAAAAAAGAGGAAAAAAAAGAAAAATAATCTATATATAATATAAATATAAATATAAATATAATAATCATCTATTTATATTATATTATATTATATTATATTATATTATATTATATTATATTTTATAATTAAAAATAAAGGAACATTATCAAACTTATTTAATTTCCGAAAATACAAAAATTTATGTTATAAAATATTTCATATTATTTTAAACTTAATGAAAATCGAAAGAACACACGATCAAAATATTTATTAATATACTTTATGCGTATGTACTTACGTACAAAGTATATATATATAGATATATTATGTCATAAATATACATATATCTATATTATACAATTTATGTCGGGCCTAATTTTTTACTCTTCAGAAATAAAAGAGAAAATAAGAAACAAAATCTAAAAAAAAAGTCATTTATGATTAGAATGAAAAAGAACGAATTCAACGATTCGCGGACGTGCGACAGGCCTTTGTTTAAATACCAATATAAACAATTCATTCCTTAGAAACTCTCTCGTCACACACCTTATTCAGATAAAGTTCAGCTTGCTGATGTCACTGAAGACACCGTAAACGGCGTCACTTGATAGAGAAAACACCTGTTGCATACCCTGACAGGCTTCGTATGCCCATAACGAGGGAGGGGAACGTTATTACTGCTGCAACGGCCGCAGAACACCTTGCCGCAATTTCTGCAATGATGTCTGCGTCTTACCACCGTGAATCCAGCTTGACATGCCATGCAACGGGGCGCATCGTTGTCCGGGATCCAAGCTGGTGCTCTTTCTACACATTCCTCGCCACGTTCCGTTATGGAGGATGCTATATAAAAAAAAAATTAAAATTATATTTGAAAAAATATCAGATTTTGATATCGCATAATTGACTTTTTATAATTGAATGATGTCTTTTAGACATAAATTAAGTGACAGAGATTGAATAATAATAAAAAACTTAGTTTTCTTTCAATCCAAGTATTTAAAGAAATTTAAATGTCCACATTTCGATGTGACATTATTTATATGATTAGATTCAAAAGGATTTTCTTTTAATAGTTAAGCGATGCCTAAGTATCTATAAAAGGAATTTTGAGCAAATGAATATTTTATATATTATAATTTGTAAAAAATTGAATTTATGTAAAAGGAAGTAGTTCATACTTGTGTTATGGTCAGTTGTAGTAGTTTCTTCCAAATCATCCTCATATTCTTGTAACAAATCTTGTCGGTCATGATTAGTAGCTGTATCGTTTATCGGACTTACAGGATTTTCAGATACTGAACTTTCATCCTTCATTTCACCATCTTCCACAGTTTGACTACTATTCATAAGGAACACACATTTTAAAATATTACGTAGATCTGATGCAAAATTCGTCTGTAACTGGTCTGCCACACCAGCTATACAAACAAATAAACGGTGGACAAGATCCTCAGACGATCTGAAGAAAAAAAGAAAAATTATTAATCAAATAATGTAGAATATAAGCGGAAATATATATAATAAACTTAAAAAAACTAATGTAAGTTTTATATAAACAAAATAAAATATTTAATAATTTTCTAAAATTATAACAATTATTAATGATAATAATATATCAACTTTAAGATAAATGTAAGTACAAATGACGCATAATTTTCTTCCGATTCTAAACAATAATTTCTAATTAATAATTTTAAAAAATCCAATATTCAAAAATTTCCAAAGATTACCATATAATAAAGAATACACAAAAGAAATTTACCGAAATTTTGCTCGAATCTTATAATTATTTGCAATCTCAGCAGCTTGCATTGCCAATGCTATTTCCTCGTCATCCTGGCAATCACTTTGAAATTCACTAGTCTCCGAGCTTGAATCACAACAACTCGAACAGCTCGAACTAGATCCAACATCTGGTTTATGAGCCAACATATGATCCGAGTTGATCGACTGTGTTCCTTGAACCGTAGATGCATTCATCAGTCTCACGGTTCGTGTAGCTCTTTGCGTGTTATTGTCTTTTTGCACATATGATACAGGTTGCGTCAAGATAGGTGAGCTCGGCTCGTTCGACAAACCGCTTTTATCCGTTCTTGGTCCCAAACCATCATTCATTAATTCATTAGGACTTCTGTTTCCCAATTTCCTCTTAGTCTGTTCCAATCTAGGATTAGTTCTTTCATATTTATCTCTTTTATCATAGTCTCTTCTTTTCATTCTAATAATTTGTTCTGACCTGGATCGTCTATAATCTAAAAGTTTTCTATTTTGCGGCGATAAATTTCGCTGAGGTCTAGAGATGATACTACATTTCCTCTGTCCGGATCCAGGTGTGCTACGAGTTTCAAAGTGTTGTAATCTTGGACTGGCGTGAGGGCTATGGCTTCCAAAGTTAGGCATTTTTCTAGTGTTCTGACTGGGATGCAGGCTAGCGCCATAACTGATCAATCTAGGATTTAAGCAACGATCTGTCGAGTTTGATCTGGAACGTTCCGTGCTTGCCGATGATCGTAAATTTTGGAAATTTTGTATCCTACTCTCTTGTATTCCTTGATGAAGTTTTTGTCCATTTCTTTCGTGCTTGCGTTGATGCCGTCGTTTTTGTTTCTCGTCCTTCATCTTTCTCGACGTCGTGATCTTATCCTGAGCGTATTGCTCGATCTTTGTACCAATTTTTTCGATGTTCTGCGACGTAGAGGGGCAGTTCTCGCATTTCAAGTCACTCCAGAATTCTTTTCTCGAAGTAGACGCATCGATACTTAAATTCAAGTTCTCCCAATTCTCGGAATAGTTGATCTGAAAACTGGATTGGTTTGAGTCACAAACAGAAATATGCCCATTCCCGTACGCGACTCCAACGAATTCCTCATTTGTACCATCAAAATTCGACGATATCCGTGGAATGTTCTTCGCGACCTCCGTGTTGGCCGCGTGCAGATTATGCACCTCGATCGAATGATCCAATGATGCAACCGTTTTCACGCTCCTTAAACTACAAACGCAAGAGTTTTCCGATATCGTCGAACTCTTCCTTTTAGGTGAATTCAAATTAGAACAAGAATAGCTAGTGTTCTCTTGCGTATCTTCGTCGCCCAAGCCCTGTTCATCCTGTTGAATCTCATTGGCGAATGTCTTCTTCTCTTCAGGACTTTTATCGTATAAACTGGTATTCTCCGACGAGATCACCGTGCAAATTCCCGAATCAGTCTGCTCAGAGATCTCGTTCTGACATTCTCCATCTAACAATAGATTCGACAACGTTTTATTCGCCTCAGAGATGAGCTTTTTCGAATCCAAATCGGGCAAAGAGTTTTGTATATGGACCGTCTCACCAGTTACGTTGTTCTCGTGTGAAACCTGATTCAGTAGATACTGAGTTTGAGGAATTTCGATGTTATCCGAGCTACCTAATATCTCGGTGATGTCCGAGGTGATGAATTCTTCTTGCTGTTTGTGCAATTGTTCGCCGCATCTATTCTCGTTTACATTCGAAATACTGCTCTCCGGAACGACTTGTTCCGTGACGGAATTCACTATGGAAACAGGAGCCGCGTTACATTCTATTCTTCTCGTGCAAGGATTATCATCGCAAGATAACCGACTATTCGTGTTCGATGAACTAGAAGGTTTTTTAACATGATACTGCACTTCGTCACCAACACTATCACGTTCACTGGATGTCCTCGCGCTACTATTACACCTTACAGTCTCCTCGTACCCGTTCACGGATATGTTTAACCGATTAGGCCCAGTTTCCACGATCATTTCGCGGCTCTCCTCCTCCTGATCGCTATTCCTCTCCACCAACCGATTCTCCTTTTCTAATATTTGAACCACATCGTCTGCCACTTCATCCATGTTGTTCCCTGTATTCTTCGTCACAGTGTAAAAATCTACAATGAAGTCTTTGCAGTTCGGGTAACCGGTATAAAAATTGTGAACAAATTCCTCCAGATCGGGGATGTCCTGGCACGTGGACGATTTCGATGATTGCGTGATAGGGCCTGACGGCTCCTCGTTCGAGCAAAGCAGTTTCTCCAGCATGTAGAGCTCGCGATTGTTCAACGTCCATAGAAGCTCTCTTATTTTTAGAAGAAGCGACTGGAATGAAAAAAGAAATATTTGTTTATACTTTTGAATGATTTTTTGTT